TAGAATACCACTATTACCTTACACTTATTATTTATTTACCCTTTGACTTAACCCTGCAATAGCATGAGAGTGATTATTATCATAAGTATACACATTTGTCAATATCTCTATACCAACACCACTCCATAAGCTCCTTCCCGTGGTAAAAATATAAATAACGATACCTGGTATACTCCTAGGTGAAATGCTACAATGGTATATTATCTGTGCGCTTGTGAATACTTTAATATATATATATATATATATATTTTCTCTAAAGTTTACAAGTGTCATTAATAATTACCAACCACACATTTCTGGCATTATGCTAGGGATGACAACCTAATAACAAGTGATGCTAACAAATGCCAACAATCCCCAATCCTAAGAGGGTGAAGTACAAGCTCTCCGGGCGCTAGCTCCCTTTGGGGTGATACGAGAAGGTGCTCCACCGCCTCAACTCTAGCGACGCTAAGACCACGGAAGGGTCACTATCGGCCCCCTCCGTGTGCCGATGTTTGACTCCTGCGCCCATTCATGGATCTCCTAGGCAAATGGAGCACAACGAGGATGAGAAGGAGGAGCTCACCCTTGAGGGGCTTCAGGCTCAGCTGCGTGACCTCAAGGAGAACCTGGCCCTAGGGTAAAGGGTGGCGGAGGAGGAGCTTTGGCGCTTTGACATCGAGGACAAGATGGACGTACTCCGCAAGGGGCTCACCTCAAAGCTCAAGCACCCGTTCGAGGCCACAAGGAATGAGCACCTCTATGAGGCGCCACTCCCCTAGACCCCGTGGCCGCTTAGGTTTTTAGATTAGGCGCTCTTAGGTTTATATTTGTTTTCCTTAGTTCGTTATAGGTCATGTTAGGTTCGATTTGTTTGTGTTAGATTTGCTTTCCATTAGTTTAAGTTTTCATCATTGTAATCAAGCGCCTAATAAATAAAGTCAAGTGTGTCCCGTCCTCTGGTGTTTTCCCACCAGTAGGACTTTATTATTTTACCGTTTGTTGTGTTGAATAAAAGAAACAGTTTACCAAAGGAAATAGTGTGGGGGAGCCTCCATTTGGATCTTGACGGCTTCCCACAATCACAAAAGTGCCATCACTAAGTCGTGCATGCACTACAAAACACCTCGAGCGAAAGACCGACGCGAGGGGCCACCTAGGCCCGCCGCTCGGCGCCTTAGGCCCGGCGCCCTACTGCCGCCGTCGCCATGGCATGGTCAGCCCTCGGGCCCACCTTGATCCACCACGCAGGTTTGCACCCCTATTTCTCTCCAGTAAGTGATTTTCATGTTAGAATTTGTTATTTCCATCTCTACACACATGAAAATAAATTTAAATGACTAAACATATGGCTACGTTGATCTATAAAATTTTATTCTATTTTATTCTATTCTCATGCTTAGAACTTGTGATCTACTTTTGATTAGTATGGTCTACCTAAGTTGTTGATTTGTGAGATATAGTAGTGACAAAGTAAGTTGCTTTTTCTTTACTCATAGCCTTGGAGATATTTGTTTTAAAAATAAATGCTATGATATCTATCATGATTCCTCATGTGATAAAAATGCCTACCAAAGCCAAAGTATATTTACTTATAAAACCAGCACAAAATGCTATTTGATCTTACTTTGAGCTTTGCCAACCTTTGAGATCTAAGTAGAGAGTTGTGTCATGCTTTTATAACCAAGTCCACATATACCACCTCTCTAAGCTACTTCTACACTGGAAGTAGGCTCATTCATTCCACTATAAAGTCTTGTTTCTCCTTTTGAAAAAAAAATATATATATACCTTCTATTTCCACAGAGGACATGGATATCTAAAAAGAGAGAGAGAGAAAAAAAACAAAAAGAAAAGAAAGCTTGAGCACAAATGCTCATAAGTTCAGCTCTCTCCAAAAAAAAGAGAAGAGAAAGATAGCCATGCTCCCTGCAAGGAAAAGAGAAGAAGAGATAAGGAGAAAAGACATCATCCACCATCTTATCCACCCACATATCTTGGCTTATGATTGCATGACATGACCCTCCTAGGATCCATTGCTTGACTTAGCAAAATAAGTAGGACAAATACACCTAGCTTTGATCCCTACCTATAACTCCACATAAGCTCTAGGATAGAGAAAGGTAAAGTACTTATGCCCTCGAAAGGATTATCACTAAACACCTTTTGAGCGACAAGGAGAGCTCACAAGAGGATACACATGGATCATGTTTTCTCTGAAAAATCTGATTAAAAACTCCAAGGAATTTTGAGAAGGAAAGATGTAACCAATTTGATCACAACTATTCCACTTATCAACCACTCAAGGTTTGATCTTAGCCACCGGAAAGATCACAGGTATGAATATGAGGATTAGAATAATTTTTATACTTGTTCAGGTTTTGGAGAGAAGCATATGTCAATCACCTATTATTTCACACTATTTACTTGGGACGAGGAAAGGTTTAGTGTGGGGGAGCTTGTTGATGGCTCTTAACACCCTCTTTTGCCATCAACAATTAGCCATGAAATGCATAAAATCAAGCATAAAATGGCATTTTATGTTTAGATTTCACTTGGTTCCTCATATATTTGGAGAATTGTGCTTGCAGGAACAAAATAGGTAAAAAGGAGCAAAAACATACCTTCTAGAAGCCATCCACGTGTCCAGGAGAGGTAGGGCCCACAGGGGGGCGCCGCTCGGTGCCAACATGGCGCCTCCCGGCCCCACCTGGTGCCCTGCCACGTCACTGATCCGTAGGAGGGTGTCCTGGAGTGCTGTGGAGCGTTGATCCAATGTCGGTTCACTCAGTGGCCGAGATTCAGTTCGCTTGGATTGAAGGGCCCACTGCCATACAAAGAGGAGCTCCAAACCGACCTAAGCACCACCTTACCGTGGGAATTTCGACATGTGCTGTCTTTGCCATCGCCTTAGAGAGCTAACCAGCACCCTACGATGCAAGGTCGGTGGAACCAAGGGCCGGGCGGCACCCCCTTGAGGCCGCCCAGCGCCCAACTAACCTCAACCGCCTTGGTGGCTGCCTATAAGTACCCCCTGCCTCACTTCAGCTATAAATAGGACCCTTGATGCTCATTTGTAAACACACAAGTGAAGAAAGAGATCTCAAGAGAGTAGCTTTGCTTAGGATAGCTAGTCTCTAGAGTAGAGAGATAGAGAGAGAGAAGGCGAGGAGAAGCTGGAGGAGGAGCCGGGCTTGTCGGCGTCCTCTTCTTCATGTAGCGCTGCGGCTCTTCTATGGTAATTCTGTTCTCATTCTTGCATTAAGTTTTGTTATATTTCTGTTGTTTACGGGTTTCACCGCTTGGTTAAAGTGCTCTAGTCTTATTTCATCGGGATCCAGATTAGAGTAGTAAACGCATAGAATAAGCGTGGTGCTTAGGCTATACCTTACATGTGTTTGCGGCTAAGTCTCCGGATAGATAGTGGTAGGTGGCAAGTGGTGCCAGCCTTGTCCATCCTCTGTATTACACCACGATAGGCTTAGTTATTAAATCGTAGGGCTCGTGGTAGAACTTGTCTAGTTAACCCTCCTGGTTGGTAGGCGGGCTGTGCCCCGAAGTAAACAACTGTTATTTACCATTCCTTGTTCAAGCAATAGTTACAGAATAACCCATAGTATTCCACTCCTTTCCTCCCCAACATCCATAGGAATCCATTAGTTCTAGATTTAGATCACTCCTTGTTCCCTATGGATTCAATACCCAGGATTACTTCTGGGTGAAAAGCTACCCTGACAACCGTGCGCTTGCGGTCTATTTGTGTGTGCCACCCTGGTGTGTGCCACCCCTGGTGTTAACAATGAACATCCAAAGAAGGGGTATGCAGCTCGACACTAGATGTCCCCTGTGCTATCGGCTAGATGAGGATGGAGGCCACTGTTTCCTCAAATGCAAACTTGTCAAACGGTGCTAGGCTAGCCTGTCACTTGAGCCGGTCCGCCAAAACCTGCTGTTGAAGAAATCGGCATGGGAAGTAGCTATGGAGGTGATTTCTCTAGAGGAAGATATTCGCCTGAGAAAGGTACTTCTTCTTTGGACATGGTGGAATGTCACAAACAAAGCGGACAGGGGTACGGTGAAGGGGTGCGGTCGGGGGAGGAGGCAGCTGGAGATGTGCTAAGAATGATTGGGGAGCTGAGGCCTTGTTTAGTTTACATCAAAATTCCAAGTTTTTTCATGGGAAGTTTGCAAATATAGGTAAAAAAAAAAAACTAATTACACAAGAAAATCGTAATCTTTTGAGCCCCACGATTAGGCCAAATAAGACGAAAGTGCTACTGGAAATTATTCACAATCTAAACAAGGCCTGACAACAGCAAAGACGTACCATAGCTGAACCAGCCGAAAATAAATCTAGATGGCTCTTTCGTCTCAGATACGCTACAGGGCAGCTGGGGTTTTGTTATTAGAGACCATGAAGGATCAGCGGTCCTCTAGCTGGGCCGGAAACCTGGGATCAATCCCTGATGCCGTCACGGCTGAAGCAGCAGCTTGCGCCAAGGCGTTGCAGGAGGCAACGGATCATGGCATATCGCGCATACAGCTGGAAACAGACTCGGTGCTTTTGAAACAGGCTCTACAATCATCCTACAAGGACTTCGCGGCGTGTGGAATGTTGATACGTGATACCCGAGATTTATTGTATGACCACTTCATGTGTAGCAGTATCCTGTCTATCCCAGGAACTTGTAATTCAGTAGCGCATAATTTGGCTATGGTTGGTTTGAGTTAGGACCCGGACGAGTGCCATGTTTGGGCAAACCCCCTCCCAGAATTTGTACAAACTTTTGTTGCTCGCGATGTTGTTGAGCCCGAGTTATCAATGAGGGTCATAGAGCCAGAACTTGCATAAAAAAAATCCAATCCTTTAGTACGTAATAAGTTAGCTACTACAGTACATAGATTATATATATATAATACGGGTGGATGTGGAAATTAATGTCAGGGGGTTGAGTACGTACGTACGTATATACAAATACAAACACGTACGTACAATATGTGCATGGGTACGTACGTGGTCAGGTACAATTAATGAAGGAAGAACAAACACTAGATGCATGGATCGTCGAGTCAGTTGCTCTTGTCTTGTTCTTGTCCTTGTCCTTGTCCTTGAGGTCGCTGGCGTAGTAGTTGCATGTGATGAAGACGCCGCCTTTGAAGCACTCGGCGCGTGCGCAGCCGACCTTGGTGCTCCTCTTTGCGACCATGAGCGCGAAGTGGCCGCACTCCTTGAAGCTCTTGCCGTCGAGGCACTTCTCCCTTTGCTTGTCGTAGATGGTCTCCTCCTTGCCCCACCAGATGACGGCCTCCCTGGCGGTGGCGTTCCAGTCGTCGTGGCTCCTGAACACGCTCTGCCCGTATTCGTGGCCGCTGTGGAGGAGCTGGCAGTCCTTGCGCATGGCGTTGGACCAGCGCCGCGCCTGCCGTGCCAGCTTCCTGTCCCACTTCATGGGCGTCACGCCGTAGCGCGCGCGGAGCTCGTTGTGGGCGTCCACGAACTCACGGGCGATGCCCTTGTACCACCCAGCGCCGTTGGTCGAGGACACGATGTGCTTCTCCTGGGCGTACTTGAGCAGCTCCTGCTGGGCGACCTTCTCCTCCTCCGCCGCCTGCTGCTTCGCCATCTGCCGCTCCTTCTCCTTCTGCTTCTGCTTCTCCGGGTCCATCTCCTGCTCCTGCTCCTTGTCGTCCTCGTCGTCGGAAGACGGCGGCGCCGGGGCTTCCTGCTCGTCGCCGCCGCCGCTGCTCCCGGTTCTCTCACTCGGCAGTGACGAGGACGAGGAGGCGGAGGAGGCCAGGGCGGAGGAGGGGACATTGGAGAGGACGACGGCGACGGCGAGGAGCAGCACTACTGCCATGCTGCCGCTGGGGCTGCGCAGCATGACGAGGCGGCGCGCCATGCTGGTTAGGCGCTCGACGGAGGAACGCCCTCCTCTCTTGCCAACGTCGGAGTTGGGAAGGAGGGGGGTCCGATCCGGCGTGACGGGACAGCGCGGCGCGAGGGTCACCGGCCGGCGGGGAGTAGTACTGGCCACCTAAGGCCTCCCGGCCGGGGCCTTTTATGCTTGCCTGCATGCGTACAGCCTCCATTGTTTCCATTCTTGGCTCTGCTCCAACTGACCTGCATGCCAAATTGCCAATGGATCGATGGCCATGGCAATGCCATGGCTGCAGACAAACCGGGAGCACCACCTGCCTTTTTTTGGCCATACATACAGATCATAGATGAGGCCTAGCTATTTCGTGCCGCGCGCGGCCTCGCTGGTTCGTCGGACGGTTCCGTCTTCATCATCTAGTGCTGTTTGTTGATGCAAAACAAAACAGCCTATTCAAGCATCAGCTAGTGGTTACAAATAAGGGAAAACTAGGATTATAATTAATTATCTGAAAATAATAGCCAAATTAACCATGACAATAAGCAGGGAGTAAACTGCAGGCGACTCAGATATGTGCCAAACAGCATACATGCCTTATTGAAGAATTCATATAATGGCCATATTTACAAACTTCGTAATGTCTAATTCAAGAGCAGGCCAAAAGTGAAGCAGCAGAAGATGAGATGCCAGTGCCGAACAAAGATGCTGCCGGCATGGATCCTAGTGCAAGTGTGTAGACTGAATCGAATGGCGTGAATTGCAACACAGGTCCATATGAACTGAATGGATTATTGGTTGATGGAGCAGGACTTGTTTGTTTGCTGGATGAAGGCAAAACAGAAGGGATCAAATAGGGCCCGTTTGGTTTCCCGGCTAAATCCTGACCTGGCTAGGATTGCAGCCTGGGTAGTGCACGTCTGGCTCCAGCAACACAACATGGGCTTGTTTGATTGGGTTTGTTAGATAATCTGTTCCATCCCTTGTATGAATGCACAGCAGGGAAAGGCGGCGCCGAAAAAGGCACCCTGCTGCTGCACTGTAGCAGCTACAGGGGCAGGCGCCGAACGGCTCACCTGCCGCACTGTAGCCACAACAGGGGCATACGCCAAAGTCAGTCCTGCTGTCACATCTAGTCACTATAGCAGCATGACAGCTGTACTAGGACTAGATGGATAGAGTTATATAAATAGTTTGCCACTGCAACTCAGTAAAGAGAGAGTTCAGATTTGCCATCTCCTATACAGAGCTCTGGCCAATGCTGATGTCTCTGCTGTGTGTATGCTCTGTTCTCCCTCCCTTCTTCTACCTCTAGCCATAGTGTGTAGTCGGCAACGACAGTTCGTGGTCGCCATCACTAGTGTGTGCTCGGCAACACTAGTGGGTAGTCGGATATCTCCGTACATGAGATCGAGGGGCCATCAAGTGGTATCAGAGCCGTACAAGCGCCATCGCCGGACTAACCGCTGGCGATGACGAACGGTTCGGAGATGGACGACAGCAGTGGCACTGCTGTGGCTAACCAACCACGACAGGAGGTCATTGTTCGCATGGTGCGGGAGGTCAGTGACACCAGTTGGCCGACGCTTACTCGCACCAACTATGGAGAGTGGTCGGTGACCATGAAGGTCAAGCTCAGAGCCCGACGGCTCTGGAATGCTGTTGTCAAGGGCACCGACAATGAAGAAGATGACATGTCAGCGCTAGAAGCTATCCTCGCTGCTGTACCGAAGGAGTATAGGGGGCCGTTGGGGGTGAAGAGCTCTGCTAAGGAGGCGTGGGAGGCTATTGCGGCGATGCGCGTCGGTTCCGACCGCGCAAAGAAGGCGGTGGCCCAGCTTCTGAAACAGGAGTACGCCAACCTCAAGTTCAAGGATAGTGAATCGGTGGAGGAGACGGTCTCCAAGTACCTCCAGTCTATGCTGGCAAAGTACATCCAGATCGCTCTCTCCATAGAGACGATGCTGGACTTGTCCACCCTCACCATTGAGGATGTGACAGGCCGTCTGCGGGCGGTGGACGAGAGCCTGGAGCTGGCGACAGCACCGAAGGACAGCAACAAACTGCTGCGGACAGAGAAGGAGTGGGCTGCTCAGAGAAACTCCAGGGTAGCCTACTCCAGCCGCGGTGGCGATGGCAAGCGCCGCGACAAGGCTTCTTCGGAGAAGAAGAAACAGGTCGACCCCAACGCCTGCCGATACTACGGGAAGATGGGCCATTGGACACGAGAGTACCCAAATCACAAGTAGGAGAAGAAAGCTGAGGCTCATCTGGTGCAAGCTGATGATGATGATGAGGCCACTATCCTGATAGCGATGTTCTGTGCACTGCACGACGTCGAGGCCGAGCAGAAGGGAGAGGTGACGACAGTGGAAGGACCTGGGAAGGCCCTGAAGGCTGTCAACCTCGATGAACCGCGCGCCCAAGTCCACCTCAGACATGTGGGAGGGCGCGGCACCATCATCTTCAGGTGCCAGAATCTTCAGGGTGTGACAGCTGCCTGGTCGGGAAGCAGATGAGGCTGCCGTTCCCAAAGGCGGCCAAGTATCGCGCGAAGGGCACTCTCGAGCTCGTCCACGGCGATCTCTGCGGGCCAATCACGCCAGCCACAAACGGTGGTCGGCGGTACTTCCTCCTACTCGTGGATGATTGCAGTCGCTACATGTTGCTGCAATTCCTGATAACCAACGACGAAGTGACGACGGCGATCAAGAAGTTCAAGATACGCGCGGAGGCCGAGAACGGTAAGAAGCTCTGCACGCTGAGGACTGATCGCGGTGGCAAATTCACTTCGGTGGAGTTCGCTGCGTACTGCGCGAATCAGGGTGTGGTGCGACACCAGACCACGCTGTACTCGCCACAGCAGAATGGCATGGTGGAGCGACAGAACCAGACGGTGGTCGGCATGGCTCGATCCATGATGAAGGCCAAAGGCATGCCGTTAAGGTTCTGGGGTGAAGCGGTGACCACGGCAGTGTTCATCCTCAACCGCCCTCCCACCAAGGCCCTGAAGGGCAAGACGCCGTTTGAGGCTTGGCATGGGCGCAAGCTGAGCGTGTCCTTCCTCCGGACATTCGGCTGCATCGGCCATGTTAGGAAGACAAAGCTGATCTTCACTAAGCTAGAGGACAGGAGCACACTGATGGTGTTCCTAGGCTACACGGAAGGTACCAAGGCGTACCGGCTCTATGACCCACGCGGAGACAAGGCACTTGTCTCGCGCGACGTCGTGTTTGATGAGAAGGTGGCTTGGGACTAGAACTGAATGAGCACGGGGGAAGTTGGTGGCTTCACCAGGACATTCGTCATCGAGCACTTGGTCAGCCACGGTGGTGGAGACGCTGGGGAAGAGGTGCCGAGCACTCCGGGAGGGGTGCCGAACACTCCAGCGACAGAGCCGAGCACTCCTGGGGAGGTGCCGAGCACTTCGAGAGGGGTGCCCAGCACTCCAGGAGTGGAGCCGGGAGGTCCTGCAGTGGTGGCGACCAATCCGGGACGGGTGCCGAACAATCCCGTAGCGGAACCGAGGGATCTTGCATTGGTGCCGACCACTGCAAGACGGGTGCCGAGCACTCCGGGAGGGGTGCAGACCACTCCAGGAGTGGTGACGAACTATCCAAGAGTAGTGTCGAGCACTACACCGGGGGCCGAGCACTCCAGGTGCTGTGCCGAGCACTCCGGCAGAACAGGGAACTCCATCGACGTCGATCGAGTTCGCCTCACCTTCAAGTGACATCACTGAGTTCGCAGATGCCTTCCACGAAGGTGAGGAGGTGCGGTTTCGCAAGATGGATGACATCGTCGGTGGCACAGGGCCCTCAGGCCTGGTGGGTCGACTGCTCAATGACCAAGAGCTGCTGCTTGTCAGTGCAGAGGAACCACCCACGTTCGCGTTGGCTGAGTGAAACATCCTCAATTTTCCTTGAAGGGAAAATCCACAGAATGAATTTTAATATGATAAAACCAAGAACTGATTCCATCATATTATCATATTTCAGTCGATGTCACAGTCATACATCGTAAGATTACAAGAATACAAGATATTACATCACTGGGGATCACACCTATTATAGAGTTAATCTAGCGGAAGACTTTCGAGTGAAGGCTCCTCCTTCACAGGTCATCATCAGAGTTGGCGTAGTGCAGCGTAGATTCCATCTCCGAACCAAACTTGAGCGTAGGCACGAGACCTCCTAATCCTTCTAAAGTTAGCATCTCTGAGAAACAGGAAATCTGCACACCGCCAGATGTGTGCAGGCCATGGTCAGCACCGATGAGCTTTAGTGGAAAAGATAAACAAGGGATCTAGTGATCCTAATATTTGGCTGTGGTTTGCATCCTTAGCGCATGAGAAGTAAATAACATTAGTAATATAGTAATAATATCTAGTTTTTAACACATTCACCACCACACCATCCATATCCATCCACCAACCATCCATCCCAAACCATCCCCACACCACCACACCATATCTCATCTCACACACTCAGGTCGACAGGCCAACTCCCTCTCGGCCTTGTCTCAACGGCCCATAGCCCCTAAGGCTCACGACCAGAAAATACCCCAACCCTGGAGGGAGATAGAAGACTCATCTCATATCTAGTTTAAGCGAAACCTAGGAAAGGTCCATAGCCGATAAGTCGGCATATGTATCGATCAATCAACCATACACTCTGCAGAGGTTTTACATGCCCACAAAATTAGCCATCCTTGGAGTCTAGAATCTCCTAGGCAGAATTCCGGTCGCTTGCTAGCCTAGAACGATGCCACCCTACCTCTCAGCCCTAGAACATCCCAAGTCTAGTCTGGGATGGCTGATACTGTGAGTCGTAGACAGAGCCAGGGCCCTCCGGATGTCAAGAGCTGGGTCCACAAGGCCTCCTGAAGTCTCGGAAGGGTGTGGGGGAAAACCGCGCGCCCCGTACCTCCTTGCACGCGTTCGCCTAGCAGTTGTGGCATTGCTCTACCAAGTAGTCCGACTGTCCCACACCATATAGGGCGAGTGGGATGTAAAGGATTTCTAGTGA